TTTTTTGTATTTTAGAGAAGGGTCTACAGGGTGTTCAGGGTCTTACTACTAGATTTGACTCAGTGATCCGCCTGTTTGCGGCCTTCCATGAGCTGGGATTACAGGCATGCACCACCATGCCTAGTCTTAATAGCCCCTCTGAGCATGCCCTGTGGGCCGGGCGGCACAGCAGGCCCAGGGATGGAACCCTGGTTCTTGCATCTGCTTGCAGGCACTTCAATCTGCTGAGCTATTTGGCTGGCGTTCAAACTCTGTGCCTTGATGGTGCTACAGGAATGCCTAGTACAGTTGTGCAGGTTGGGCACAACACAAGGATCTCACATTCACATTGTAGACAGATTTGAACCAAAAATTTCTGGCAGAAAGTAGTAAAATGTCTTGAAGTAGAGGCATCATTTTATCATCTGTACAGAGGTGTTATATAGGACATCAGGGACCCTGCTGTTTGCTCTGCCTAAAATATTATCTTCCTTGTTCTGCACCAAGCTAGCTCCTGCTCTATCCTTCAAGGCTTTCTTCCAGTCTTCTCTCCCCCAGGAAGATATCCATAGCAACACCCTCCTCCCTCCTGCTTCCTGAATGGATTAATAGTTAACAGTTAGTGATAACCATTGATATGGGAGCTATTAATGCTGGGCTGGGATTTCCCTAAGAGATGGTTTGTATAGAACACAAAAAGAATGTTCTTTTTCAATCTTCATTGGCCAAATTGGAGAAAGAAAAGCATCTTAGTAGGGGCAAGCTTGTCTTTCACACTTTTCTCCAATCCTTGCTAATCAGCGGCTGAGCCAAAGATCAAGCAGGCTGGCCACTCCCACCCTTCAGCAGCCAGGGTCATCTCTGATAGTTCAATGCTCAACCCTCTTTAAATTGTGCTTGAGCTGTTTTCCGGGCAGCTTCCTATCAACCGTATACGATACTGATTTTCCGCTTTCTGGAGTGTTCTAAAGTCTTATTTGGAAATCAGTACATTTAAGCATGAGATGGTAAAGTCTATTTACACACAGATGTGAAGTACACAGTTGTGCAGGTGGTGGCAGATAGGGCGAAAAGTCACAGGGTGTGGCGTGGAGGATGGGTGGATGAAAAGGGAGCTTTGTTGAAGAGCGCAGGCTGCGGGGTCAGCATGCTTGGCTTCCAAACTCGATGTGGCCCTGCAAGAGTCACTTTCCATCTTAAAGCCCGTTTCTTCTCATGGGAAAAGGGAGTACTAGTGATACCAACCTGCGTGAGCCATCTGAGGACCAAGCAGGGCAATGCAGGCGAAGGACTTGGCTGTTTACTGATTTGATTATTGAAACTACAAAGAACAAGGAAGCCACGCTGGTGTGGAGACCACCACCATGGGGACAGAGGACAAGCTCCTGGGCCCTTTACCTGAAGATTTTACCTAAACCCATAACTTCACTGGGTCCTGCAGATTCCCAATAGGTAACTGAAAGCAGAGAAAAACTTTGGCTCTCGCTTTGCATCCTTTATTATCTTAAAACGTTGGCTATAGGCATGGAAAATTTGCAAAATGGGGCTTATTAGACCCAAATTTACCTAACCAATCTCCTTCCACCCCACACTTCAAGACAAGTGGCATGAGGATAAAAGATTTAGGGGGACACTCGGGTATACTCAGAAGTCTCTATTTCCCTAAACCTAGGATCGCTGATTCCAGCAGAACCCCACATGACAAAGGCCACACCAATAATTGTCTCATGGGAACCAAATAGGCCCTCAACTTGGAGGATTCATCTGGAGTTATGAACCAGGACTGGGATAACCTGACTTCAGCCCCTCTTAGTATCCCATAAAACTGGTCTCTGTTCCCTTGTGAATGGGCCAGTCTGATTGTTCCCTTCAGTGCCTAAGGTTGAAACCTATTTCTTATCTTTTGTTGCTCTCCTCTGTTAGAGGGCTGGCTTTGTTAGGGAGTTGCCAGAGCTGCCCTCCCCTTCCTTTTCTCTTGGTTTTTTTTAAAATTAGACTTCTTGCTTTTTTTTTTTTTTCGGAACCGGAGATTGAACTCAGGCCCTTGAGCTTGCCAAAGAAGCGCTTATTCCACTGAGCCATCTCCCCAGCCCTCTCTTGCTTTTTAATTAAAGTTTTTTTTCCCTGCAAATTTGTGCTGAATACTTTGGTTTTAATTTTCACCATCAACAACCTGCACTAGCTCATGATAGCTACAAGAATGCAGAGGGACGTGGTGACACACCTCTGTCCAGAGTCAGGAGACATCGTGGCTTTAGGAACTTTTATTTACTGGGAAAGATGAGGCTGTTGAGGCTGCACAGGGGGTGAAGCAGCATTGTGTGGGCTCACTTGGGGGGCTCGGCAGCAAGCACAGGGAAGCAGCCCTCGCGATGCCACTGCCTGTCACGTAGGCGGCGCACAGACTGCATCTGGGGCTGGAAGGCACCCCACTCGTTCCAGTGCCGGAAGTCGCCAGGCTCCAGGAGGTACTGGTATCCACGGTAGCCAGGATACTGATAGCCCACCCAGCTGGGAGAAAAGTGAGAAGGACGGTATGTAAACAGTCAGCCCTGCTGCCCTATCTCCGATCCTGCCTGGACCAGGAAGTCTTCCATCTGTCCCTGCAGGCTGTTTCCATCCCCAGCTGTTGCCACCTCCCACACCTCCAAGAGCCAGGCTCAGGTCAGCCAGGGTCTTCAGCTGGCTTTAACTTGGCTTTGAAGACAAGGGTTTCCTCCCTCTGATAGACCTCAGGTTCTTCTTGAAGCCAATGGGCGTGGCCAAGGTGGCCTGTTCACTAAGAGTATTTGGGGCTGGAGTGTAGCTCAGTGGCAAAGCAATTGCCTAGCCTGCCCAAGGCCCTGGGTTCTGTGCCCAGCACTGCCAAAGAAGAGAGGGTTTTGGAGGCCACATGGAAAACTGTACCTGGAGTGCTCACTAAGCATGTGGTAAGATTAACACACATTCCAGTGAAATGCTGTGGGGCTCAGGGAGACATGAGGTCAAATAGATAAAGAGGGCTAGGGCTGTGGACCAGGGCAAATAAGAGGGAAAATGGGTTCCTGCCTGCATAGTGGTGCATGTCTATATTCCCAGCGTTCGAGGAAGCTGAGGCAGAACGGTTGCAAGCTCAAGTCCAGCCCAGGCAACTTAGTCACTTACTAAAACTTTGTCTCAAAATCAAAAATAGCCTGGCATGGTAGCTCATGCCTTGAATGCCAGCACTCCAGAAGCAAAAAGAAAGATTAAAAAAAGAAAGAAAAAAATTTTTTTTCTTTTGCATGTTAGTAGAGTTGTGCATTGCCTTTGGGGTACATATTCTGGCTCTAATCCTAGAACCAAAGGGCCAAGGCAGATGAGTAGCCTGAGCGGCAGGTGCCTGAGCAGTGGGGCTGATAAGGCCACCCGCCTCGCCAGCCGTCTCTGACACTCAGTAGCTGGTGCTTTACAGTGCTTGGCACAATGTTCTGTCCACGGTGAGCACTCGAAACAGCAACTGTGATCAGTGATTCATTGCTGCCTTCCCTCATCGCCTCTGCTGGCAGGGTCCTGCTGGGGCTGTCACAGCCAAGCCTGGTTTAACAGTCAGTCCCAAGCTCACATTCATCCTCCGCCAGCCTCATGACCATCTCTTGCTGGCACCTGGAGGCTCTGTCACAGGGAGCTAGGCTTTCCTGTGAGGCTGAGTAAGCTCCTTAAGGACAGGAGCTGCGCCTCCTTCTTCTCTGTCTCCTGCAGCATGTCTAGCACAGCACCTGGCTGTCATCCAATAGCTTGGATGGCAGGGATCCGGGTTTCAGCGAAAGGGGGTAAGAAAGTAAAAGATCATGCTCCCAGGAGTGTTTTAGGAGCTCGGGAGTGAGGGCATGGCCAGGCAGAAGGCGAACCCTTGCCCAGAGGAGAACAGAGGGACCTGGACTGCTGGGAGGTGGGAGGCCAATAAAGTGCCCTGCTTGGGCCATCCCCTCTTTTCTGTGTTCTCACAGAGGTGGGTCATGGGCTGTGTTTGGACAGCTTCTAACCTGGGCACTGGGTTCAACCCACACCTTTTTAGATGAGGAGACTCGTCCACCCATTGTGCAGCTGGCAATGCTGAGACAGAGAGGACTGGAGCTGGCCCAGCCTCCCAACTGATAGCAGCAGGTGAAGGCCCCTCCAAAGCCACTCGGCTCCTTCTCTAGGTGCTCAGGGTCCCTGCACAGTTCTCTTCTCTAGACTGACTCTTGACCTGATGGTTCCACCAGTCCCTCCCTGGCTTAGCAGTAACCATTCTCCCCCATCTGCTGGCTTTTTAGAACCAAGTGCCAGATTTGTTTACACTGATGCAAAATTCCTCAAAGTATGACTCTCTTCCCCAGAGGAATGAGGCTCTGCGGGTGGAATCTAGACAGCCTCCAGGAGCCGTCGGGAGGAGCCACAGCCTTTACTAGGAGCCTGATGAACAGCGCATCCTGTCAGGGTGCAGCTGCTTCTGTGTCCTCTGTGTTCCTAGCAGGAGATGGGAACCTGGCAGGAGGGATGCTTACGTTCCACTGGAGACCCTCACGCTGCCCACGCGGTCACAGAAGCCGTAGACCCAGAGGCTAGGCACGTCGTCCTCCTGGATCTCCATGGTGTTGCCCTTGAAATTGGCCCCTTCAAACAGGCAGATCTTGTGCTCCTGGGCATCCTGGGAAAGGAGGGCTGTGTCAGGAACAGGAAGCAGGAAGGGAACCGAGAAAGCGTGCTGTGCTTGGAGGGAGAGAGAGGCTGAGTGGGCTTGGATCTCCTGAGACTCTCCTGGGGCTGCTGCTCTCTGGCTTGGAAAGGTCAACCTCATCTGGGGAAAAGGGTAGCAGCTCCCAGGTCTTAATACGGTCCCAGGGATGGAGTGAGGGAATCCATGTATAGCTCTGGCACAGTGTTTTTTTATTTTTATTTATTTTATTTTTTTTATTGTGGGGGTGGGGCACAGTGCTTGACACACAAAGTGATCAAAAATATTTTCATGATGATGACGGTCAGGGATTGTAGAGGTTCAGAGAGGTCAGATTTCACAGCCAGGGAAGGGCAGACCCTCTCCATGAAACACCTCTCGCTCCTAAACCCAGTCACTCAATCCGTGTCTCTGTAGCCTCAGGCGTTCAAGCCAATGCCCTCTTGTAAGTGTTTCTCAAAAGCCGAGGAAAAGCACACAACGATCCTCAGGCTATGGAGGGCACTGGTGGGACAACGCTGGGTTAGAATCTTGCCTCCAACACTGGTATGTTGGTGCCTGTAGAGACTACCCTGCCCCTCCAAACCTCAATTTTTGCACCTACAGAATGGGGTTACAACTGCCTTGTGCATGGGATTGTGAGCAATAATTACTCTACTTATGTTGAGCCGTGACTGTGTGAGAGGTCCAGCCTTGAGGCTGGGCACGGGAGTTAGTGCTGGTGTGTACTGATTATTTTGCTCCAGGGCTAGGACAGAACCCACGGGTTTGTGTATCAGGGAAGTGCTCTGCCACTGAGCTTCACCCCCAGTCCTGAATAGAGTTTTAATGCTGCAAATCCATAGACCTAGGGTTTTAAGCCAGCCTGTTATTTCTAGGGGCCAGGATCACCCTCTTTCCACCAGGATCAGCCATGGCTCCTGGCCCAGGGATGAAGCGCAGTGCACAGGGGTGCCCCAGCAAGTGGATCAGAGTGACACCAACCTCGAGCACCTCGAACCCCAGGCCCATTACTGAGCAGCTGTGTAACCTTTGCCACCCCTGAACCCCAACTTCCTTGTCCTTCATGTAAGTGGTATGACAACTTCTGCCTCCTAGGACTGTCATAGGATTGGAAAGTACGTGAAATGTGGGAAAGCACACAGTGTACGGTAAGGTCTAAATACATGTGCAGTCTGATCACCTATAATGATTGACCACTAAGAAGTAGGAGGCCAGATGTAAGCACATCTGTCTACAGAAGTCGCCAGCAGAAGGTTGTGGATAGAGCAGGAGTCGGATAATTCTTCCAGAGGAAAGGAACATGGGTCAGGAAAGGTTCCATGGAAACAGGACATTTGACAGTGACTTTGGAGGTTGAATAGGAGTGCACATGGCAGAGAAAAGAGGGAGGGTGAGAGAAGGCACTGAGTGAAGAGAAAGGCGCAGGCAAAGGCTGGTAGGAGCACGTGGGATGATGGCTGTTGACGTGCAGCATGGCCAGAGTGTGAGAGGGTGAATGAGGCCAGAGGCAGCGATACAGATGCCAGGCACCGTTGCGTGCTGGGAAAAATGCCCTTGGTATGACTGCCAGCTCATGCTAACCTCCTGACTACTAACGACCTTTACTTATTATTACTGCAGTCTTGGGAAGGTTAAGCCAGTCAATGGCCCTTGCTGCTGCTGCTGGTGATGATGGTGGTGGTGGTGGTGGTGGTGGTGATGGTAGTGGTGGTGGTTGGGGGGGTAGTGGGGCCAAGACCCATGAGGCCCTGCAGGGCTGGGCTTTTACTCATGTTCTCTCTGGTCTTGCACTTTTCTCCCCTCCGCTCCCTCTGCTATAGCCACTCCCCAGTTCGTCCCTGCTTTTCGAGGTTTGCACACCTTGTTCTCTACAAGTTTTCCACCAACCCTTCTCATGGCCAGGGATTCCCAACCTTCCAGAGCTGGCTAAGATAGTATAATTCTAACATGTACCCTATAATAGTTTTTCTTTTGCAGCCCTGAGGATTATATCCATGGCCTTCATATTGAGCTACATCCCTGGCTCCTTTTTATCTTTAGTTCTGAGACAGGGTATGGCTGAGTTACTAAGTTTGCCAGGTTCGGCTTAAATATGCAATCTTCCTGCTTGAGCCTCCCAGAATGCTGGGATTACAGGCATGCACCACCATGCCCAGCTCCATTATAAAAATATTAATATATTTCATTTTTTTCTGTACATTCAGGATAGGGGTGGTCCATACTTACATAGCATCTGCACTCAGAGTAGCCAAAATTCGTATTTGTAGCCCTTCATGACTGGTGCCCACTCTACTAGACAGCTTAGTTCTAGAATACTGATAGCCAAATGTTTAGAGACTAAATGCCAAACCGCAACCCAAAACCCACTTATTTATCATGAAGGGCCAACACTGCAATTAAATCTGAATACTGAGGTGTTAGTTTAGGAAAACAAAAAACCTTCTTCATTAACAACTTTTGTTATTGTTGTTTTGGTCCTGGGACTCAAACTCAGGACCTCATGCTTGCCAAGCAGGTGCTATGCCACTGAACTGTGTCCCCATCACACTAACATCTTTTGTCTTAAATGAAAAACAGAGTAACATATGTGCTATGGGTTCTAGAAGCTACCAGAAGTGCGTTAGCTATGGCATTTCCCTTCAATAAGCTCCCTTAACCTAGATGGTCACCTAAATGCCACTTGATGATCAGGAGACCAACCTATGAACTCTTACAAAGAGTACCTCAGTCTCCAAGGCCGAGAATTCTGGCATTACTCTGGCTGTCTAACCGGTTAAGACCAGCTTGCTTGTTGGCAGCTGACCATCCCCAATAGCCGTTCATAACAACCCTTCGTGAATGTTCGAGCGAGGGAAGAAAGATGTGAGGTTCTATCGGAGACTGGCATTGGTGGGTAAGAGATGGTTGGGCCATGACTCATAATCAACTCATAATTCTGGAAAATGTAAAGCACCTGGAGATATCCACATTCACCTAAATGACTCTGCTTTAGGCTGGCTTCTATGTTAAGAGGCGGATTCAGCGTCCTGCCCTACTATCCTGGGCTGCTAGATGCCCCTCACAGCATTCCTTTCTAGCCACTGCAAAGTTTCAGCCAAGTGTTTGGTCATTTGCATTTCCTTGGGTTTTGTTTACTTGTTTGCTTGCTTATTTTGTTTTTTGAGAAGGGTCTTGCTAAATCAGGCTGGGCTTATACTCATTCCATAGCCCAGGCTGGCTTCAACTCTGAGCAATCCTCCTGTCTGCCTCCTTAGAGCTGGGATTACAGGTACTTGCTACAAGGCCAGACTTAGAGACTAGATTTTAATGCCAGTCCAAGAGAATGTAATGTGCATTCAGGAATCAGAAACACCCAGCAAAGAGGGTCAAGAAAGCCCCTGGAATTTCTAGCTCTAACCACTGGAAGGTGGGCCCAACCTCCATAGCAGAGGGAATGAAGATCGCCTGGTTTTTGTTTGTGTTTGTTCTGGGTCCCCAGTTCAGGGCCAGGTACAGCCTAGCATGTTGGCTGCTTGCCTCCATGAGCACAAGACCCTCCGGCCCGTCGGCAACCTAGAGGCCACCTCCCCTCCTGTGCCGTTCCTTTTTCCTCACCCTCACTGACAGTCAGGGCTCAGACTTTTGACTTGTCTGGCACTGCATCCCTGTCTCTGAAGCGCCTAACCTGGAGCCACTCACCATCCTCACAGGCCGGAAGGACATGAGCCGGTCACTCCGGTAGCTGCTTGACCAGGTGTCCCAGCGAGGGTACTCGCCCTTCTCCAGTACGAACATCTCCCCACGGAGGTTGGACTGCTCAAAGGCCACCCAGCTGGACAGGCGGAGGACCAAGAGGGGCAGAGGCAGAGAGGACAAAAGCTATTAGCAGCAGTCCTCCCCCACTTGCCTGCCTGTCTCCCTTAGAAAAGCAGCCCTGGGGCCAGCACGAAGGCCTCAAGTGGGCCTGAGGTGCCTGCAGTTGACTCTCAGCTGTGCCAGCGGTGTGACGGCGGGCAGGTGACTTCGCCTTTCTGAGCCTTGCTTTGCCCCACGGCCCTCATACACCTGTTCTCGTGCAGTGGATGAAAGAGGACGAGGAATAATGTGTATAGTTATCTGAGCAAACTGTGTTGGCAAATGTAGGATTCACACAGGCTGTGAGTACTACAAGACCCTAAGGCCAAGCAATTCTGGTACTTTCTGTTAAGCCTGATTAGACCTAATATGTCCTTTACATTTACTCTTTTCTTTTGGTAATAAAGGAAGAATAGGTTCCTGCTCAGAGCCTTGCTGACTTTGTATTTGCTATTTTTATGGATAAATTTTATGGATACATTTCACTTGAAACAAATGATACTACCTTTCTGTTTATAAAAAAGTGACACATAGATTATTATATACATATATATATATATATTCAAAGTATGTATGCTTGTGTTTTAAGTGAATGATCAAAAATAAAATATATTAGTTAATGCTCCCAAAGACACACAGTAAGAGAAAAAATGATAGAAGTTTGGTAAAGACTGTCTCGGGAGACATTCAGTGCCTGGTATGGGGTGGTGGGAGAGAGCGAGTGATATCTAAATCCCCAATACTTGTGTGAATCAGTACGTTATGATAGTGCAAGTATGTTATTTTTGGTCTTTAACAGGGATAAATTAGAAATCTGAAGCCAAGTGGGCTTTTCCTGGCATTTAATATAGCCAGATTAAAGATGAGGCTGGCTGGACTGGGGGCCAGGGAGAAGGCATGGTTCTCAGTCTGCGGAGGAGAAGGTCGACTGAGGGGCCCTGGACCTCTGCTGTCCATGTGTTCAGAAGTTCTTAGGAAGCAAGAAAGTGCCAAGGAGCACTGCCGTATGCATCATCTTCCTAGGGGCCATCCTCTCCCTAGGATTGAGACAGAATGTACCCCAGGAGGCTCAGATCCTTGTCTGAGGGATGGGTGAACCATACTTGAGGGACAGAATTGGAAATGTGAACTTGTTGTTTTGAAATAGAGTTGAAATTGCCTCAGTCCTGCCTGATCTGGAGTAGGGAAGGAAGGAAAGAAGGAAGGAAGGAAGAAAGGAAGGAAGGAAGGAAGGAAGGAAGGAAGGAAGGAAGGAAGGAAGGGAAAAATGGTAGAATGGATGAGTAGATGAATGGATGGATAGGTGGATTATAGGTGACAGTTAGGTAGATGGCTGAGTGGGTAGATCTTTGGATGGAATTCCAGATGGGTGGATGGATGGAGGGATGGGTAGGTGGATGGATAGATGGATGGATGAATGGATGGGTGAGTGGGTGGATGGATGGATGGATGGGTAGGGGGATGGATAGATGGATGGATAAATGGATGTGTGAGTGGGTGGATGGGTGGATGGGTGGATGGATGGATGGATGGATGGATGGATGGATGGATGGACGAATGAGTGGATGGGTGGGGAAGTAGATGGACCATGAATGTGATGAAGAGGGAGGGAGTCTTAGAGGGTAGAACAATGTAGGTGTTAAGTGCATGGACTCTGGACACTGACAGACCTGAGCTCTAAGCTTGACTCATAGTTTTTTGCCCTGTGGTTTCAGAAAGGCACTGCAGCCCGCTATGACTGATGTGGTCTTACCACCCTGCTCACCCTTCCCCACACCTCCTCTATCTTCTTTGGGAGGTTCTGATGGCTTGAGACAAGAGGGAGCGGCCTATCCCTCTCAATACCTTTTTCCTCTCCTGTGGCTCCTTGGAGCTTGCATTTGAGCAAAGGGAAAGAGCAAGATTCTGAGTTTACAGATGAGGAAACTGAGGCTTGGGGGTGAAGTTCCCAGCCTAAGTTTGTGCAGTGATGTCAGGGGTCAGGAGGAAGTCTCCCAGGTCTCAGCAGATGTTTTTCCCACCCTGCTGTGGGTACTCTCCTCCTCTCCCCCTTCACTTCCTTCTATCATCCTTTTACTTGGCAGCCCTACTGCCAAGACCCAGCCCGAGGCCCTGGACCACAGGGCTGTTTGTACCTACCCTGAGTGCACGCAGTGAAGAACAGCTGCGTCTGTGTCTCCGAGGAAACATAGTCTGAGTTTGAGTCACCTGCACTGAAAACAGCCTGAAACCCTATGCTGGCCGCATCTGGCAGTTTCTGTTCCCAGCTAGGCTTGAGGGCTGGGGACAGAGCTGCGCTGGTGCTAGCTGCACCACGATGGGGTGGTAGAGGAAGCACAATGGTCCATGGACCAGGGTGACCTGTCTACACTGAGAGGGTGATGGGGGGGGCCACCTGCTGTGTGTGGGCACCCACAAGATGCCACCTCCATCCTGCATTACCTTCTATAGATCTCGAATAATCCTGTGCGGGTGAGTAGGGGCTGTGCTTTTCCCCATTTTAGAGAAGAAGAACGTGGAGTCCAGAGACGGAACAAAGCAAACAGGGGAGTCAGGACTCAGCCCAAACTTGTCTGACTTCAAAACCTCAAGCTCATCCCATTTCTGCTATTTGCCCAAGGGGCTCAGAATGTAAGCTTACCATGCTCCCAGGGGGTTTGTGGGGAGGAAACCAGGGCAGGTTTTGTCCTGGGCTGGTCCAGTGCCCTGACCTCTGTTTACTGGGGCCAGAGCAGCACAACTGGTCTATCTGAGGGACAATGACTCCGTCTTTCTGTGTGGACCATGAAGGCCAAGAGATGCCCAGGGTCCAGCCAACCAGTGAGGCCTGCTACTTCACAGCATTGGAAATGAAACCAGTCAGCCTGAGTCAAATGTGGGCTCAGATGCTTACTACTGGGTGATCTTAGCCACCTGTCTAAACCCCGTGGAGCCTCAGTTTCCACACCTGTTACATGGTGATAAGTATGGGCTCTTCCTCATACAGCATGGTGCAATCGCCAGCTGGAGTCCTCACCCAGTGCCTGGCTCCTCCTGCATGCTCTAGGGCCACATGATCTCAGGAGAGATACTATACAACATGTGGTCACGGGGCTCTTTTGTTTCTTCCAGCCCTTAGCAATGGGCTGAGGTTCCTTCTATAGTAGGAACAGTATTTTCCTGCAGCCTAGAACCATGGCTTATAATTAGTGTGACCTTCTCGATGGGGTCATGGCCCCGAGATGGGCAGGGTGTGCATGCTTTCCTCTCAGATTTGCTGGGAGGGTTGGGAAGAACAGAGACACCGCTACACCATCCAGGCACAGAGGAGGCGCCTGCTAAAAAGGCTGGTACCATGGCCCAGGTATCCTGGGCAGAGGGTCTGCCCAGGCCACACTCACGGTCCACAGGTGACAATGAGGCTGCGCACTCGGTCAAAGCCTCGATCTCCCAGGTTCAGGCACTCTCCCGAGAACTCCACCCGCCGGCCTTGGAAGTTTTCCTGCTCGAAGACCACCAGCTGCAGGAGAGAAGCCCCCACGCCAAAGACACAGAGTGAGGGGGATGACCCAGCTCTGTGCCCCTGAGGTGCAAACTAAGCCCAGGGAAGCTTCAGGTTGGAGTCCCTTGCATATTTGGCCCCATCTACACAGGCTGTGTTTGGTCTGGTGAGCCATGGCCTGTGGCATGACCCTGTCTCCGGCCTCTGATGACTAAGCTTCAGAGCTGCACCGTCCGCAGGAGCAGGGTGGGAGGGGGATCTCCTTTCCGGGCCACTCCTGCCTTTGTGGTGTCTCTGCAAGACCCTCGCTGCCACAGATCCCAGTCCTGGAGTCCTCCTGGCCTAACTCAGGTTCCTGAACTCATGCTCTAGACTGGACATCTTGGTTCTGCTTCTGTTCTGGGCTCAGAGGTCACCTGTCCTCCTCCAGTGCTGTGTTGGGTCTCAACTGTAAGCCACCCCTCCTCCCCCCGAGTGGCAACACTGCGGAGCCACTGCTGTGCTTTCAGCCTCTCTTTCTCCCTCTTCCCACTAGTCTCCGTCTTTTTCTCCCCTTTTCTTTCTCCAGCCCCAATGAAGACTAAGTGTTCTGCAGTGTGGGGCCTGGGATGCTCTGTGTCTGTCTGTAACCCCAGATGGAGGAAGTGTCTGCTGGTTCCCTCTCAGGACTCTGCCAACCTCTCCCCACTGAGCCTTGAACTCGGGTTCTTTTTCCTCTTGCCAACCCGAGTTGGGCAAACTTGAAGGCTCGCTTAAGCTGAGGCAGCTGCTTGCTGTCTGCTGTCTTGGAGCCTTGGGTTCCCCAGCTGCAGAGAGGAGGCACCCACTACCTGCACCTGGCACCTCCCCTGCTGTGTTGGCCCCCTGGTGAGACTGCTGCCTGGGAGCCCAGGACAGGGACATGACCGTGCCGGGCAGGCTGGGTGCTGCGCTCTGCACCTGGCGTCCAAGCTCCTTGGGAGGCTGAAACAAGATGACGGCATGAGCCCAGGAGTTGGAGGACAGCTTGGGCGACACAGTGAGACCCATCTCAACACAAGCAAAGGAATGAATACCCCAGGCATACTGCAACCACCGGGGGAGGGGTCTGTGGCAGGAGGGTGACGATGTGCTCTGAACCTGCAGTCACACAGCAGCCAGAACAAATGGCTCAACTGGGTGGAGGCACAGTAAGGAATCACACAGTCAAGAGATAAGAAAAAAGAATGCCAGAATGAGCACACTCAGCATGTCTCAATAAGATGAAAGCAAGCCGTATTTCTGAGGACTAGCACACAACACTATAGAAATACATAGCGAGCAGATAGTGAAGACAGGAGACGAGAGTGCCAGATGTCTGGAAACTTAGGGTCCGGTAGAGGATTTTTTACCTCTTTGCCTCTGCCTCTGCTTCTGCCTCCGTCTCACTCCCTCTCTGTACTGGGAGTGGCACCCAGGACCTCCTGCGTGCTAGGCAAGCACTGAGGAGTCACATGCCCAGGACTTTTTAATTTTTATTTAGAGACAAGGACTTGCCAAGTTGCCCAGGCTGGCCTTGAGCTTGTGATGCTCCTCCTGCCTCAGCCTCCAGAGTAGCTGGGGTACTGGTTTGCACTGCACCACCCAGGTAAGTCCTGGGTTTTATATGAATAGTGGGTTTACAGGTGCTGGTTGTGCTGTTAAAAATAAATTAAAATGACTGCTCAAATAAAACTATGGAAATGAAAGCCAGTCTTGAATAGATCACATAAGGACATGTCATGAACAGAAGGTGGCTGATTCTGGGCACCTGAGACCAAAAGCAAAACCCAGTTAAGTCCCTGGGGCCTGCTGCCTCGATCTCCAGGACCCTTGCAGCCCGGGTGCTCGGAGCAGCTCCTCAGGACATGAGGCCAGCCTGCTGGCTGATGCTGCCTCTGGGACAGGCGGGGGCACCTGCGGCTGAGCCTGCCCTCTTCCTCTTCTTCCCCTGATTCCAGCGGCATTGACACACCCTCTGCAGGCTCACTGGGGCCAGCCCCAGCAGCAGCAGCTCCTGCAGCAGTGAAGTGTCATGTTTCCGTTTCATGTCACAACTCCAGAATGGGCCCCTTCTTCCCAGGGGTGTTGAGACCCCTGGCCATAATTCTGGGGCTTCAGACTGGCTGGACACAGGTGTGCCTGGGAAGGCAAGGCAGGAAAGAAGCCATGGAGAAGGAAGAAAGAGGCCAAGGCGGGAAAGGACGGGGAGGTGGGGAGAAGGGGAGGAGAGAAAACTGGCAAAGGAGGAGCACGAAGGGGTGGGAGGGAAATGGAGAGGGAGGAGAGAGGAGGAGAGGAAGTAGGGGAGGAGAGAAAAGAGGAGGAGGAAGAGGAGGAGGAAGAGAGGAGAGGGAGGAGCAAGAGGAGGACGCAAAGAAGTGGGAGGAGAGATGGATGGAAAGGGGGGGCCCAGCCAAGCTGCCTCGTGCCCACATCCTTACCCGGTAGCTCCCAGGAGGCAGGTCCCCCACCTTGGCACTGGGTATGGGCACAGCGGCTGGGGCCAGGGCGGGCCCAGGGCCAGGAGCTGGTCCCGAGGGTGGGGCCCCCTTGCTCTTGGCATCAGGACCCGGGTTCACTGCCGCTGTGGCTGCGGCCTTTGCAGCCTGAGACATGCTTCCGTCCTGCAAAGTCGTAAGGAAACCTCTGGCCTCCGTGAGTGTAGGGGCAGCACCCCTAAGCAGCACCCCACTCTCATGCCCCCTTCACCCTGTGTTTCCAGGCACCCTGAACTCATTCCTTCCCTCCTTGGAAGTACAAGCTGGACATGTTTTTCCTCCATCCCTGCTTCCTAGCCAAGAATTTCCTGTCTGGCAATTGCTGCTCCCTCAGCTGCCTTCCCCAGGCCTCTGACCGCACCGTGCCATCTGCCAGCAGCGCCGTCCACCTCCCCCTCTCCCTCGTGTGCCTTCCATAGCCTCCTGCAGCTCTTGACCAGACATCACACTTACTTGCAGATGCAGCCTTGATTCGCCTCCCCAGGTGTGCAACAGTAAGGAGCTACATTTAGGAGGCCTCGGGCATGCCAGGCATGATCACCAAAGTTAATCTACCCATTTTGCCCTGCTTGAAACCCAGAGGAGTAATGGGATCACTGTGTCCCCTGCCCTGAGCATCCTGAGGCTGGGAGAGAGAGGTGCCCTGCCTGAGCCACTCGGCAGAAGGTGTCCAATTCCAATTCCAGTTTCCAGCAGATGGACCCAGGCAAGGGGGTGTCAGATGCTCTGCCTGGCATTTATCCCTCAGATTTGTTTGCCCCTGTCTCTCAGTGGTTGGTTCTGCACCTGGCATATGGGAGCATCCCATTTGACATCTGTTCAGAGACTAAGCACCGTGTGTCCACATCTTTGTGCCCAGGCGGCTGCCCCAGGCGTCCTCTGGCCAGGAGCATGGAAGCACACACAGGCCAGGGCCACAGTTATGCAGGAGAATCCACGTGGATGGGTTTAGCTCACATCCGGGGATCCAAAAGCAGGCACTGTGGCTGCGTAGGCACTGGGTGGAGAGGGCTTTGGTCAACTCCAGTGGTTCCCCACTGTCTTGGGGACATAAGGGTGGAAGTGTTTTAGCTCCATCCTTTCTACTGAGTGTGTTCTGGATGCCTTGATTTTGTCCCCAGGGGAAAATAAACGCTTCTGTCACCTTTGTAGAGAATTAGCCCCCCCCAATAGCACTGGTTCCCCCATTCCCAACCTTTGCTCTCTCTCCTTGGGGTGAGCAGATTCCTCCTCCAGCCTCCATCCAGGAAGGCTGTGGCCATTCTGGAGCCCTCAGTCAGCAGGGCGGGCAAGACATCTGGGCCACATCTGGCTTTTGGTCACCCCTGCCCCCATCCTGTGCAATGCTGCCGCAGGAATACGGCAGATTCATGTTTTCCTGGGAGAAAACATTCTCACTCGTTCTCCCTTCCGCTTCTCCTCTCTGGCTCCCTGCTTGTCTCTTGCTGTTTAATCCCATTACTGCTTCCCTCTTGCCATTTTCCTTTCTCTTGCTGCTTCTCTATTTGCCAGAGTCCTGCCTTCTGCGTGTCTCTGCCTACCTTTCTCTGTAGGCTTTTGCTTTATTCTTTTCTCTCTTCTACTGTCTTTTCTCTGCCTTTTTCTCTTATCTTGGATTCCCTGCCCTGTTCTCTCTCTCTCTCT